ATTGGCCATTGTTGCTTCAAAATTTACGAAGCTAGTCCTTGAGAGGTTGTTGAGCTCGGTTTTGAACCTGAGCTAATTTATTACACCACATAATGGTGTCCCAAGATAGATCTATGATTATATCCTCGTATTCTTAAGTTTGGTCGAGAAAGTTCATCAACCAACATGAAAGCTTTTCCAAGTAGTTGGTTTATCAATTTCTTCCGATTTCATCAATTTTTGTTTTCCATTCTTGAGCAACTTCTGAGTGTTTTTCCAAGTATTTGGTTTAGCAATTTCTTACACCATTTAGTATTTATCACGTGGTGAAATTAGACTTCTTCAATCTTGTGTTTCTTTCGATGTCAGTAGTGAGAATTATTACCTCGTAAGGTCTCGGATGTAGTCTTATGAATTTCTCGTTTATAAAAAAGAGAAAAAAAAAAGAAGTTATTGAGGTTTGACCTTATTATGGAAGAAACTCTATTCTTTTTAAAATATAAATGCAACATTTTTTTTAACAAGAACTTCTCTTTAGAGGAATTTGCAAAACAGAAACATGTGTAAAGAACCGAGAGTGTGAAAAACCAAACTAAACCTCAGGGAGATTCTTTTGTTATTATTTATTACTTATTAGTGCTTCTTTTGATTTTGTTTTGGTCACATTGACTGTTTTTATTCTTTAGGAGCTATATGAATGGAATGCCCGTTATAGGAGCAAGTTCGGGTTTGTCTTTTTGATTTTTGCCTCGGGTAGAAGTACCCCAGAGATACTTGCTGAGTTGAAGGTAACATTTCGCCAAAGATTACTCTGTATTTTACTTCTTTGAGACCCAAATAAGTATATTTTTTCTTTTTCGTATACGAGTGCCGAGGCTTCAATCTCGCTAGTTGCTAGTACTCAAGGGTCCAACTCCAAACAGCTTAATGAATATTGATTATACTCAAACGTGCAATTTTTTAACTATTATATTCTATATATTCTGTATCACAAGCTTGTAGCTAAGATTGGTTGACATGGTTCGATACTTCTATCTTTGTAATTTGCAGTTCCTTTGGAATTTATATTTTCCCATCTAATCTCCTAGAACAATTGAAATAAACTATTGATATATTCTTAAATAAAGCATTTAATCTCCATTTAAAGTATTTTAAAAATGCAAAACGTAGATAGTCGCGTAAATGTAAAAACAGAACTTATTTTAAAATAGATTAGATTCATGGTTTAATAGGTTGAACTTATAATTTGCATTTTTTTTTTGTTCTCTCTCTCTACAGAGACGGTATCAGAACAGGCCAATAGTCGAGTTTCAGATAGCAGCTCAGGAACAGATGAAGATAACCGAGTTACGTGTATCTAAGCTATTTTCAGCTGAAATAACCGATGGTCTCACCTCCAAAAACCCATACACTTCTACAAATGTGGTGACCAAAGCTGGAGGTTCTGTGTCCAATTGGCTTTTTCCATCTTTAGTGTTCGGTTTCTGCTGGTTCTTGTTTTACTTCATTTTGTCCTACGTTTTCCAACTTACAGAAACTAACGTATTGGATTATGATTTATAATGAAGTTAAAAAAGAAAAGAAAAGAAAACTGTTCTTTTTGAGTACAATATGAGTCATATATTCTTTTCCCGGTTTTCTTTCTTTGAGCTACAAAGTATTACTTTTTCTGTAAACCGCTTGAAAAAATCAAGAAAATGGGTAGCTCAATCTCTGTTGATATGTTCCATCAGACGTTGTCTTTAACGAATTCAACATTCTACGTGAAATGAAGATTGGAAGAAAAAGAAAAAAAAATAAAAAATAAAGAAAGAACAAATAAAGAATGCCAGAGAAGAGGAATATGTTAATGAATAAAATGTCTGAATTCTTGGCAGAACCTCGTATCGAATATTCCCATTTAGAGTTATCCTCTCGTGATTAAAACATGTTTGCTTCGTAAAAATCGTTACTTTTGGTCTGAAATACTCTCTGTTTTTGAACTGTAGAAGACCGTGTGAGCATCATAGGGGGACACCTGGCAGGCCCAAAGTCCGAAGCCCGAACGTCGACCCGAACCCGCCCGCCCATCACGACCCATATTCTCGATGTGGCCCGTGGGGCTCCAGCCTTGGGCATTGATGTTCGCCTCGAGATGTGGGGTGATAAGCTCACCCGCCCTTTTTTGGGCCAAAAAGAAACCGACTATTCGGGCTCTTGGAAGCCCGTGGGCCGTTCGACCACGGACAAAGATGGGCGAGCTGGCGAGTTGATGGACATTGTTGATGACTTGAGCCCGGGAGTCTACCGAATAAGTTTCGACACTGGAAAGTACAATCCGAATGGGTTTTTTCCGTACGTTTCGATTGTGTTTGAGGTTAGGGAAGGGCAGTCGAGGGAGCATTTTCACGTGCCGTTGCTGCTGTCTCCGTTTTCGTTCTCGACTTATCGTGGGAGCTGATTTAGGGTTTTGGTGTTTGTGTGAAGAGAACTGAAAGATGGTGATAATAAGTCTCTTATCAACTCTTTTCTTTGTGATGTTTGTAATGGAAAGCTTAGCTTTGTTTGCTGTGTCGTGAGACCTTTGTTAAGGTTTCTACTGTACACTCAAAGCTTTGTGAGACAGTCTCATGATGTTCTTTGTAGAAACTATGTGAATGATGGTGGTGGTGGATTTACTATTTTGCATACTTTCATTAAGATATATAGTATCTTATCTTATGTAAAACAATAATAATCATAAGTGTGACATTAAATAATATAAATGTCTTTAATATATATATGTATATATATATATATATATATAAAATATGACTAGAGATGTTAAAATTAAAAGAGCTGCTCGTGAGCTCAGCTTGACTTGGCTCAATTTCGGAGCTCATTTAAATTTGGCTTGTTAATATTAATAAACGAGCCGAACTCGAACTTGATTATAAGCTCATTAAGTTAATGAGCCGAGCTGCTCGGGCTCGACTAGGTTTAGCTCAATTTCGGAGCTCATTTAAAGCTTGTTCAAGCTTATTAAGTTAACGAGCCGAGCTCGAGCAGCTCTGCGTAGCTTAGCTTAGCTCGATTTCGAAGCTCATTTAAAGTTTGTTCAACTAACGAGCCGAGTTCAGTTCGGCTCGTTAATATTGAAAACGAGCCGAGCTCGAGTTTGATCATAAATTTGTTAAGTTAACGAGTTGAGAGCTCGGCTCGTTAAGGGTTTCAGCTCGAGCTCGGCTCGGCTCGTTTACACCCTTAGATATGACGAATTGTTTAACTGTTTGGACCGTTTAATATCGGTTTACAAATAGCTTTTTTTTTTTTGGAACAATGATGGACTAACTACAACAAATAATATGTCTTTACAAAAAACAAATAAAGAAATAAGTTATTTAGATGAAAAAATACAAACCAAAATAAAACATGATAAATAATAAATGAACAAAATTTTTGGTACAATTTCAGTAACTATTTGATAAATCTTTCATAATAAAAAACAAAAGAGAGACTACAAAAAGTAACATCTTCGAACAAATAATATAAATAATGTTTGTACATTGTATATAATTTGTTTTCAACCTTAAACTTCATTACCTTCTAAACATTTCGACTATTTAATTCAAATATTTCTCACTTTTATTTTTAAATATTCAAATATTCAAATAATTAGTTTGATTATTAGTTTTGGATTTCTAATGTACTAATATTTTTACTTCAAATATTTCTCACTTTTATGTTTTTGTTTTTTTTTTTTGCCGAAACGATAGATGTACTATAAAAGCACAAAAGTGCAAAGAGAACAAAATACAAATTACAAGACCCCAACGGGGTAATCTAAGACCCCAACAGGGTAATAATCTAAGACCCCAACAGGGTAATGAGACAGGGGACAACGGCCCAAACCAAAAACACGCCTAAAAAAGAACAGGAATAGAAAAATGAGAGGACACGCACATGGCGGCCTAGAGAACTCCACAACAGAAAATAAAGGAATATAAATAACAGAGCCACTGCACACTGCCTAGCCTGTATTCATATCCCAACAAAGACAGACAAAAACACAGACCAACTTACAAACAAAAAATACAGAAAACAAACAAACAAACACACATTAAGGACTCTAAATAAGCCCTTCCTAAGCAGCTTAACCAAGCTGAGCCAATGGATATCGAGTCAATCCAGATAGAGTCCCACAGCCCAAGAGAGTCGACCCGAAACTGCCCAAACACCAACTTGGTGGCCTAACGAAGTCAAAACCCAAGCCCCGGAACAACATCCAAAATTAAACTCGAGCCACAACCTCAACACCAAAAGCGCCTCAGGACAACCACGTGATCGAGCCCACTAACACCACTAGCGAGTCCAATCAAACCCGGAAAACCCCGAGTCACAAAGATGCCGAGCCGCAGCTACATCACCGACCACCCGAAACCGCTGCACACCACCACCCGCCACTGCCCCAACGCGACCATCACCACTGGCCGGAAGTCAGAGCAATGGTCAACTCCGGACCCCACATCAAAGGAACGGGGAAGAAGGACGGAAGCACAGCAGAGCTTCGGCCGTCCGACCCCATCGCTGTCGAACAACCGAAGCACCTTTCACCCGACCGAGTCCGCCGCAGTCCTCCGCCCACCGCCGCCCCACCTCTGCCATCACCACTGGCCGGAGGCAAAACGATGGTAATTCCCAAGCCCATCGAAGGGGAAAAGGAAAAGAACAGAGAACGCGGCGGAACTACGACACCCGCCTCCCTTCACCACTCGCCGGAAAACCGAAAAAGCCCACTGGTCGGCCAAAAAATACCGACTCAATCTAAAGAAGAGGCTAACCTGAGCGAGCGAAAGGAGAACGCGAGAAGCCGGGCGAAGGCCAGGCGGCCATTGATGACCACCGTTTCGAGCTTAATTGCCGCTGAGGAAGGCCAATCGACTCTGGGTTGAAGGCGGACGAGCGGCGATTAGGTTTGGGAGAAAGGGGATCCGCTGAGTGTTCAATTAGATTTATGAAGAAAATTTTAAATTTTTCCCAATACTTTTATGTTTTTGTTACAACAAATATATTATTATAAAAAAATTACAGATTAGAAAATAACTTTAAAAAAATACGCACTCTTCGTCAGCGCGGTGACGCGGTCTAATGGTGGTCTCCGGCGGCTTCATTCAAGAGATTGGTAAGGCCGTCAAGGCGGTGGCCAAAGGCAAAGGCTCAAAATGGTGGTACACTCCTCACGTGTCCGCCGCCTCTCGCGCCGTCGCCGATCGTCTGCCGCTGGTCGATCTTGTTGTTGAAGTCAGAGATGCCAGGGTACGACACTCCTTCCAATCAGCCATGTCTATGTTGCATACAACGTGTTTGTTGAAATACGACACTCCTTCAAATCAGCCATGTCTATGATGCATACAACGTGTTTGTTGAAATTCCTGACAGAGTTGTACTCTATGCTGCCTGATATGCTTATGGGATCACATGTTTCTTGAAGTTCATGTCTGGAATAACGTTGTTTATGTCACGGGTTTTGGCAATTTTTTATCTAAAAAAGTTGGAGAACAGCATCATAAAGTTTTTTTTTTTTTTTTTTGGTTGAACTTTGCAGATTCCCTTGTCATCAAAATATGAGCAACTGAGTAAATTTCCAGCTTCCTTCAATCGCGTGATTGTGCTGAATAAGATGGACCTTGCTAGCCGGTCCCGAATGAAGGTACTCCTTTTGTTCTTAGAAATGTTTCTCTATGTTGAAAAATATTACACCGAGCTGGTGTCTCTTAGTCTTTGAGTTGCAAATGCTAAAATCCAAGCACTGCAGAAATTAATGGTTTACCACGATTGAAAGAATGATCATCCAATGTAATAAGGAGAATGATATGGTCTGCTTTGCCTGAGGTTTTTGTGTCTAAAAAATACTTAATTTTGCTGTAATTTTTTCATCATACAATTGTTCTATGAGTTTCTTTAAGCATCCTCTTTTGCAGGATTGGATTAAATTTTTCCAGGAACAGAAATGTATGGCCTTTGCTGTGAATTCACATAACAGGGATAATATCAAGGAGGTAAACCTGCAAAGCTTTCTATTGCATTCAAAGTTTGAGTATGTCGTGTTAAGTTTGAATAAGCCATCATTAGCATATACATGTATCAATGATATTTTTTCTTTTATATCCATAATTTCCGACCAATTTACATTTGTTAAAGTAGATGTCTGAGTGGTGCCCTAATTTCTGATCTTATTTGAATCAAGTGTATCAATTTTAACATTTTGCAGTTCCTGACCTTTCTACAAGCCAGAGTTCGAGAGTTGAAGAAAAACGACGAAGCAGCTCATACTATAACATTAATGCTCGTCGGTATTCCTAACGTCGGGAAATCAGCTTTAACCAACTCTTTACACCAGGTTGGGAGGATTTCTGCAGCAGGTGCTTATTTTTATAGTTTAACACTACTGATTTTGTTTGTGAAGATTCGAAGTTTCCATTTTTACATTATTCAAATCACCTGCTCGTAAATTAATTGAACCTTTTCCTTTTAGTTTCTTGAGAAAATAACTTATAGAGAAAGGGAGGTTAAGACACTCTGTTGTGAGTCCATTGCCTGGAGAGACAAAAGGCATAAGCAGCTTAAAGGTGTGTGGAATATTCGAGTATATTGTTTTTCTGCCATGAATTTTATCAAAACCAACTTCATAATGTTAAAAAGGAACGTGAAAAATGTAGTTGGCGATTGTTCTTCCTTGTAACGTCTTTCTTTTTCCAAGAGAGCCATATAAAATTACCCTGAGTAATCATGTCATACATTTTTAGTTGTGCCCCCCGAGTTTTTGAAAATTTTCTGCATCTAAATGTAGATTGCTAGCCATCCTAATATATATGTCCTAGACACACCTGGTGTATTGCCACCCAATGTGATTGATGATGAAGTCTGCTCTAAGCTTGCTTTAACAGGTATGATCAGCTCTATATTTTTCGTCTAAATTTTAAGTATTAATTACAACCAAAATATAAAGAAGCCTTTTAAAATCAAAATTTCTTCGTGCGTATAAATTATCCCCAGAACATATATACACACACACACATATATATATAACAGTTCGGTTACCGAAGTAAAAATTTTAATAAGATAACTGCATTTTGTGTAATTAGGCTGCATCTTAACATAGTATTTTTACCTATCCCCAGAGATTGACAGAGTCCCAGAAATTTTTGAAAAAGAACAATAATAAGTTAAAATGAAGAAATAAGGAAGTGGAAAAAAGCAGCAGTAATCAATAATTATTCGATGAACTGCGTTATACAAATTTAATATTCCAAGATATGTTTATGAATTTACGTTTTTAATATGTAGGAGCTATCAATGACGATGTAGCTGGTGAATTGGAACTCGCTCGATATTTCCTTTCCATATTTAGCTCGTCTGATGAATACAAGAAATGGGAAAAATTTAACTAATGGAAGTATTTCCAGTCCGGACAAAAGACAGAAGGGGCAATATCCAACTGATCACACCCAGGTCCACACTCGTATTCAGGTTAAACTACGATTAAGTTAAAATGAACTTCAAGATTCCCTTTTTTTTACTGATTTTTACTTTTTTCAGTTGTGAACTTGAGCCTGTGATTTTTGCAGGATTTTGTCGTAAATAGTGTACGGCGGGCACTTTTTGATTCGGTTTCATCTTTTGCTGGTTGTGTAGAAAATGAAGAAGACCTAGTTCGATTAAAAGAACACGAATTCGAGGATTTGGTGAAAGCATTTTATCTTCCTTTAGAATCTGATAGAGAATGTAATTATGGTAAAGTAGCTTCAAAGCTGCTTAATCTGTTCCGTACAGGAAGGCTTGGCCATTACACTTTAGACACTGTTCCAGGTATTGCTTAGGGTATAATGTTCTCATCTGAAATAATGAAAATTTAATATCGTATTTCTCCTTGCATATTTTGCTTCATATGATTTTTTATTTTTTATTCATATGTCTACAATATATTGCAATTTGCATATATGTATGATTATTAAGATAGAACATAACAATTTATAAGCACCTAAGTCTATGATTAGCCTCCATAGTTAATAGTTGAGGAATTTACACTCCATCCCTTCATTCTTCATTTATATTACATTTATAAAGCCCTTTCATTTTTATTTATAAAATAGCTAAACAAACATATTAATATTACAAATATACCTAATATGATGTGTTAGCAAATATAACCCTTCATTATAATTTTCGCCCAATAATTTTCTCTCTCGAGTCGTCAATAGCAGGGTTCAGAATCCTTTCTTCTTCGACCAAAATCTCGCCCACATCAGAGAAATCCGAGCCAAAAATTCCTCCCCATTGATGCCTTTACTCGCTCGCCGTCGCACCAGCGTTCACACCGAGCAGCTCCTGCACGTCCACACGCCCAGAGTTCTGTTCACACCGAGCAGATCCCAGCAGTCGCCGGCGGTTCTCTTCAGCCGCGAACATCCATGGCCAAGACCAACACCCTCCCTGATTCACCGATCGTATGTTTTGGTTAGCATTTAAAAAAAAAAATGTTGTGACTATCCCATCCAACATTGGTTGTGGCTTTCTGGCGAAAAGGTAGGAGGAATTGGTTTCTGGCCGGTGAAAAATAAGGTCTTTCTGGGATGTGAGATTTCCGCCCTCTTTCTGAATGAGATAGTATTGGCTTATCCATTTGCTTCCCTTCTATGCTTGACATAAGGACTGGGATTTCACCTATTGATCTTGCCACAAATTTTTGACTTCTATTTTTCTCACTTCTCACTGTCCGAGCACGTCCAAGAAGCCGGGGCCGTCTCTGATCAGAGAGCCCAACTTTGCAGCGGCAACATTTTACTGAATATTGCAAATTTAGTATATGAATATTTTTTCTGAGTATATATGCAGTATATATGCAGTATATGTACAATATATGTTATGTGTATATTCAGTATATGTTATGTGTATATGAAGTATATGTTCAATATATGTTCAGCATATTTAGAAGACTTGTTTGTATAGGGAATATAAGTAACTGTTATAATATGTTTATATATACTTTTATGTCTAGAAGTAAAAAAAAAAATGACATAATTTTGAGACATGTTTTTTCATTGCAACATATACTGAATATATACCAACATAAACGCAAAATATACCTCTGACGGCTGCGTGAATTATAAGCTGCGTGAATTAAAGAATTAAATGAGGCAGTTATTATTTTTCATTTCTCTCTCTTAATCAAGCCCACAAAAAGGGGATGGAAGTTGAATGAATAAGGTAACTTACTTAAGGCATTAATGGAGTTATGTATTACATATTAGGTAGAGATGTAATTATTTGTTTATTGATTGTATTTTTGCAATATTTTCAAAATCTTGTAGGAGAGATGAAAATTTCCCTTAATAGTTTGGTACAAATGATAGTAACGTAATGCTATTGTTCGGCATACACAATCATACATTTTCAACCGTATGCATACTTTCAAAATGAAATCTTATACTCTAGCACAAACATAAGGAGAAGTATTGTTGGGAAAAATACGCTGAATTTTCCATGAAGTCGGATCTATAAAAGTGAAATAAAAAATAAAATTTGGACACACCAAATTGATAACGGAGTTCGGCCAATAATGCCTACGTCGCTGGGCTACTGCAGATATTTTATTAGGAGAAAATAAATACACTCGTGTTTACAAAATACTCTCAAACTCACTCACAATTCACAACTCAAATACACACAAAAGCTAAATTCTTGCTTTTTTGCTCACACCATTTTTCTCTCCTTTTTTTCTTCTCTCTTGGTGTGTTGTATTTTTCTTTTCGTTGTGGTGTTTGTTCATGAGGTTTGCTGATTTGCTCCTCTATTTATAGTGTGGGAACAACACAATTTTTTTAACACCTGTGTGCTTCATTTTTCAACTTCGGTGGATTATTGGTGTGCTGTAAAAGAAATGGACCGCAACCAATTTTTGACTCAACAAGTATGATAATTTATAGGATGTTTATGCATATTGTCAAACTAATATGATGGGTCGAGCCACTTAACTCTCGAGTTCGACAAAAATAAAAATACTAGCTTTTAGGTTGGGACCAAGAATAATTAATCATTTCTGGGTGACTATAGACCTTGATTTGATATTAGTGGGATTAAATAAAACACATGACTAAGTATAAAAACTCAAACACAAAACAAAAACACACTCAGCAAAGTAGATTACAAAACTCTACAAGAGAGACTACATACTCCAATATTGGGAGAATGGCCACTAGAGATGGCCAATTCCCGGGCCAGGACGGGCGGGCTCGACCCTGAAACGGCCCTTACCTAGGTACGGGCCGAGTACACAACCCTGTAAAAATAATTGATAATTATTTTGATAATATTTATGATAGTGAGATTGAGTTTAAGTTGAGTTAAATTTGAGTATGGATTGAGTGTGAGTATAAATTTATTTGTATACAAACATCCTCTAAGTCTCTGACATTAATCATCGACAATTAAGGAAAACCACAAAACAATCACTTATATCAATCCAACACACAAAACAATCACTCGTATCCAGGATAATCACAAGACCCGCAAATGAACAACTTTCGAATCTGAAAAACTCCAATATAAAAAAATCTCGAACAATGAAACAGATCTAACAATGAGTCGTAACTCAAACCCATATCATGCACGATCTTTCATACTTTTCCTTTTTTTTTTTTTAATTACTTCTTGCTCAATGAAATTACTATATTGAAAAGCGATGGCTCCTCCTTCAACTTCGACAGGTGTTCGGCCAGTTTCTTCGCGTACCTCGCGTATAAATCATCCATGATAGATTTTCCAAAATGAGAAGCTAAAATTGGCTCGGAATATGCACGTACACGAATCGAAGCCCGCCTCCCTCTTTCGAATTTGTCGACTTCCGCTTCATAATCGTTGCCATGCTTAACATGTGATGAGTCCCAAGGGACGAAAAAGCCCTCGAGCCTATCCAAGTTAAACGACCCGTGTTCGTGGACAAGTGTCTCGACTTCTTGTTTGCTCGGTATGAATACAGGCATGTTGAATGAATGCAAGTCAACCTCCTTCACGAGCCCCTATTTATATATATTATAAAATCGCCGGTCAATCAATTATTTTAAAAATAATATAAAAAACGATATATATATATGCGTCGTGTATTTACCTCTTGGACCATGTCAATAAGTGTATCGGAGAGCAGTTTGAGGTGTTGCTGTTCATCTTTTGTCGAGCGGTTCTCGACACTTCTACCAGTGAACGTTAGAACCATGCGGGCCCCGACAACCATTTCGACGGCCCGTGACTCAAGAAATGTGGTGAAATCTCTCTTATATTGGCTGTAATAAGCTGCAAAAACCTCAGGGGGACTTGTCATGGCAATGTGTATGTTTTCCCTATTATTCTCCAGTCCTTGTGGAACCTTGTAAATAAAATAAATAAATTAATACCATAAAATTTAAAAAATAAAAAGCCAATAAAATCATCTTTTCGTATATCATGCTGCTCATGTACTCAATATGTATTTAGGGTAAATTGTAAAATCTAACAAAGCAATTGGCAATATTAGCCAACAACTTTATTACTAAATTCAAAAAATATCATGATCTATTTACATCATGTAATTAGTGCCATAATATGGCCAAACCCGCCGGAAATTGCAGTCAGCCCTACGTACGAGAGGGTTATATGCACAGCATACGGGGCAAAAGTTTAAATTGGAAAAACGTAGACAATAGTTTTTGAATTGTGGTAAATCGTAGCCACTAATTTTAAAATTAAAATGCACTAAATACCTGTAACTAAAAAAAATGCAATGGAATCTATTCAGTGCGAAGTGGCTACAAACTCCTGAAAAATCTAAATGCGACTTGCTTGGGTCCAAGTGTACAGACCAACGACCTTTGGTGGAAATCGCTTTGGAGTAGACATGGCCACGGCCCGGCCCGGCCCGTGGTCCCGGTCCCAGCCCGCAATCGGCCCGTAGGTTGCCGGTTCCGAGAGCCGTAACCGTGGCTTTACGGGTCATTTCCGAGTCCGGTTTTTCTATTTTTGTTCCCGGCAGTCTGGGATCGGGTCGGGATAGGGCCGGTTCACGGGCCTGGCCCTTGGTTTTTGGCGGGCCGGTTAAGGGTCACCCATGGGAGGCCCGCCGGCCCGTTGACTGGCCATGTCTACTTTGGAGCTTTCGGCTTCTTCCAAAAATTAAAATTTTCCTCTGGAAGGTATCACTCTATGCTTTTCCATCTTGTGAAAATTTAGCTTGGTGAGACATTGTTCTTGATAATAGGTGGTGGCGTTGTGGTTCTAAAGAAACAAATTATCATCTATTTTTTTATTGTGCCTGGGCTAAGAAGTTGTGGAAGTTGTCGGATTGGTGGGGGATTATCTCCCATCTCCAAAGACGGGATTTCATTTCTTTATTCCTAGATATTCTTTCGGAAGGCCGAGATATGGACTTCAGGAAATTTGCGGTTAGAATGTGGCTTGTTTGGCACGAACGCAATCGTCTTCGTCAAAAATTACAAGAAAAGAAGCCGGAAGAAGTTTGGGAATTTGGGTTATCTTGGTTGAAGGAGTTTGACTACGTGCAATCAGGCTTGCTTGAGAATGGGTTGAAACCATGCCGCGACATGCTTTACTGTTGGCGAAAAAAGGGTACGTGTAAGAACGGGTGGACTCTTTTGTGTGATGCAGCAATCTGAGATACACATATTGGTCTTGGGGATTGGATTCAGGATTCGGATGGAATTTGTCAGGCCGCTTTTACTACAAGTATCAAGGGCTCATTTTCTTCTCTACTAGCGGAAGCTTTGGTTATTCGATATGGCTTACGATGTGCTCGAGATTCAGACTTTGAACTTCAGGGGGTTTTGACGGACTCTTTAGGTGTCGTTGGAGGGCTCATTTAGATGGAAGATCGCGACCCTCTCTTGAAAGTATTTTCTGATATAAGAGAGCTCATGTCTATCCTGGAGTGCAGAGTGTAGTACGTGTGGACACATTCCCCGGAAGAAGAATCAAGTTGCTCATAAAATAGCAAATTGCGCGACAATGTCTCTATCTTCTTGCTTTTGGAAGGATTCCCTCCTCATTATATTCTCCTCTAAAGAGATGTATTAAGTTCTTAGTTGCTTCAATGCAATATTTATTTACCAAAAAAAAAAAAAATGCAATGGAAAATTTCGGTCGCCATATGACGGGCAATTCCATCAGCTTTGGCCCGATTTGAATACTAATTACATAATTTTGAGAGACACTGTGGATTTCATGCGTTTAATTAATAAAACTGATATTGGTGGCTAGTATTGACACCGCACAATAATTACTAGCAAGATTTTGGAATTTACCATTGTAAATTATCTCTCTTCATCTTTCCTTCACCTCATGATGTACTCAATATTTAATTTTCATGAATATATGCTTTAAAACCTACATTTATTTATGATGAAATACTTTATTTAATTAAAAGCATTAAACTTAAAGTACCTGAGAGAGCCATTGAAGACCATATGATGAGTGAACAAAGTTGAGGCTGTTGCTTGGGACTAATCTCCCATAAAATGAGCCTGGCAAGCCATATATAAATGTTTTGGGCCTTTGATTAATAACATTGATATTATTTATGTTCTCATGATTATTAAGCTTTTGATAGAATTCAGGCAGCATCCTGAAGATGTTGTTGAAGTCATTTCCCGGTAGGTCGTTCAGAAGCACTTCGAGCTCGGGCCCAAGCCCGTACCCATTTTCCTTGCAAAGCTCCTCGATTTTGCCGATTATGCGCGAAATGACGAAAAGGGCATTGGGCCCAGACGAGCAGCCCAAGTCGGCAATCCTGAACCGGTGATCAGGAAAGGCCGCGGTGTGATTGGTAAACATGTCTTTGAGGGTCTCTTCCAAGACATGCCATGCTTTTAGTATCCCATTTTTCTGCACATAATGGAAAATGTGAATTTCATGGGATTAAAATTAGCCACTTTATGCATTTGAAAAAAAAAAAACAAAATGATTCTACAGAAATTGGTTGAAGACAATAAGTGTTGGCTGGTTCTTCTATTCACGGTGGACACAACATAATATATCAAACAATTGATGTGAACAATTGATGTCACACGAGCTTAACACTTGGAAAGTAGCATAAGCTAACTTGTATCTTATTTAGTTAACTTATAATCTTTTTCTATTGAAATAAGTTTGGTATTGTAGGGATGACTTTTTTGAAGGGGCTTATCTCTAGGCTTCTAAATTAGTCGAGCCGAGCTCGAGCTTGAGATTGAGTCCTTAACGGCTCGGCTCGTTAAATAAACGAGCTGAAATCGAGCGAATTCGAGCTCGGCTCGTTTATACTAATAACGAGCCGAGTTCGAGCTTTAGCCAGCCGACCTCGAGTTTTAAGAAATCGAACTATATAATATTATATAGAAATGCTCTTTCCGTGCCTTAACTTATCTTAAAACCACACATGAGAACGAGAGATTTTTTTTTTCTTACCTGAAATGCTGAATTGTTGGTGTAGCTGGTATCACCATTTCCAAAGTTCATGTGCACATTTACTTGTTGAGCGGCCATTTGCTCTCTGGTTTAGAGATGATATTTGGGATGATGTTTGAGTACACAAGAATTAATCATCATAAGAATAGAGTAGGCAATATATATAGCAATGAAAATATTGTTGAGCGGCCATTTGCTCTCTTGTTTAGAGATGATATTTGAGATGATGTTTGAGTGGACAAGAATGAATCATAAGAAATATTAAGAATAAAGTAGGCAATATATATAGCAATGAAAATATTGTTGACTTGTCTAGTAAATAGTTGATACTATTTGACGAAAATACATTTCCCAAAACAATTGATTTGAAATTCAAAATATTTAATTTGGATAATCTTTTTGGTCTGGTCTGACTCATAGTTTGGTCACTCGAGACCAACCTTATTTCTGTCATATTTTTTGACTATTTTAAACATCAACTAAAAATAAATCAAACAACTTGAGCAGTAGCCTAATTCAATCATTACCGGTTGATCGAAATAAAATTTCTTATTTTCTTTAATTTAATGAAATAAAAAATATTTTATAATTCATGTAATAAATATTTATAAAAAATGACAATATATTAAGATTATAAATTATATTTAAAGATAAATTAATTATTTCTTACTTTATGCATACTTATAAAAAACAAATAAACATAATAGTTTTTGAAAATTTAAATTTAATTGAGTGATTATGCAATTGTCACGATAACTTGATACTAACATGAGTTACTACATAGCAAAGATATTTTTTATATCAATTATTATATTTTTAAACATAATAATTTTTTTCGCTTGTATAAGCTTATATCACATCACTTTGAAAAATTAGCATTTACCATTACTTAACTCTTAATTAATTTATTTTATTTTATTTTTCTAATGAAAAGTATAAATACAACCCTTTTAATCACCATGATGCTTTTATATGTAAAATATTGTAAATATTCGGTTTGCGATATGACTAATTTTAAATTTTGAGATTTATTGTGAAAAACGTAATACCAAAAACTTTTGTCGTCCATTTTTGAGTAAATATTTTATTTTTAAATATATTTATTGACACGTAAATGTTTTCAAGAAAATATGACACATAACTTGTACAAAAAAGTGAATAATATTTTGACTTACAATTTTGAAATTAAAGAGCATGATAGGAAGCAAAAAAAAGTAGGACAATATTTAGGTATACAATTTTAAAAATTAAATTTCACGTTACATTTCACTATAATTTCCTTTATATATAAGTCAAACTTTTTAAACAAAATTCAACTTTTCACTTTTGAATTAACCATCACTTCTTTCAATATGTATAAATTTGGGATTGCCTATTAGAAATTGGAGAGGAAATAATTTGGGATTGCCCATTAGAAATTGCCTTCCGTAAATATGTAAAGATGAAAAATCAGTAATTGCGAAAAAAAAACATATTAAATACTTGATTACGATCTATTAATTTGACGCTCATCATTAGGGAAAACAATTTTGTGGATATCATTCAAGTTATTGTAGAGATCTATCAAATTAATTAATCATACTTTAGTTCCACTTAATACGGATCTAACTTAAGTTGGTGTTTTGTTTTCTTTTTTTGAGTGATTCTCGTTTGACCAAAATTCTATGTATTAATTACACAAAAATAAGAATAATTATTAGAGCAGGTTTTTAATTGTATGGTCCTATTAATATTGAATGCATTGCCATTAAAAATAAATAAAACAAAAGAAATAAAAAAAGATTATCTCGTGTTTATTATTACCTTTTGACATTGCATTTTGGATACAAGTGACGTCAGCGTAATAAAAGCTGTGGCTCCAACAGGTAACTCTCACCACCCACCTCCATATAAACTAAGATGATATATGAGTTGGCAAATAATCATTTATTTGGTCTCATGATTTAAATATTAAAAGTATCATATAATGAGTTGTTGTGTTTAGCAATTAATTGGATCAACTTGGATGGGCAATGAGCTGGCAAGTGGTAGGAGATGTCCATAACAATTAAGGGGGCGATTGTATACCATTTGTACAGTAAAAAAACCAATTAAAACTCAAATTTAACTCAATTTTAACTCAACTCCACTATCTCCAATATTATTAATATAATTAAATAATATCAACCAATCATTCTTATACATCACATCAACTTTAATTCACTATTCATCTACTCACATAATTTTAACTAACTATCACTTCCAATCATTTTCTCATATTTTTACATCAAATCAACTTTAATTATTTTATTTTAAATATTATTTTAATATATCCACTAACAACTAACCATACCACCTTTTTTCAAACTTAACTATAGTTAAAAAATAACCAGTTTTTTATTAGTTGAATTCATATCCAATCACCCCCTAAGATCATCCACCACAAACATTTAATGGGTAAATTACATACATATATCTCTATAGAGATATATTTACATATATACTATTGATGGAAAAATTTAATCAAAAGAGAATTGAGTAGTATTTCATTTGTACGAGATAATGCTTCAAATTTAGAGATCCGTTACTCTCTCTCTCCATATGTTGATTAGGGAGCAGATAATGCTTCCAATCAGTTTGACCATCCATTTCTCTTAAATTGGATCTGGAAAATCAATTTTTAGAACAAATTTATTTAAAAATATAAAAAGGTGGAATGACTTTTCATTAGATGTTATTCGCTGATTATAATACATTTTTGGTACTTTATAATTTGTGTTTTGAAATCTCAGTGATGGTGTTGGCCTGAAATTAAAGAAAATAAAATAAAACTTCAGCATTTCGTTCACCATTGATGAAAAACTAAACATTTTTTATTATAATTTGTTTATGACTTGAAGGTATATTCATTGTGTTTATGAACACTAATGTCTGTTTTTTATTTTTTTTTCGGTTTCATCTGTCAAAACTCTAGAGACGTAGAACCAGAATCCACATTGATTTCGTGCGTATTGATTAGTTTTACAAATCTCATATTTTTGTATATCTAAACGTAATATATACAGTAAGGAAACACAATTTTATTCTTGTAATCTTGAATATTTATTTCTTAGATATGTTTATTTTACAGGAACATGACTAATGTGAATGCGTTTATGCATCACAATGGAGTGTGGATCAACAATGAATACGTGTACTATCTAGTCGGAGGTATCTTGATTAGTAAATTATGTTACTACAATCAACTCCGAGATATTGTGTTTTATAAACTGAAAATAAACGCAGTATTCAAATGATCTTGATATGAAGTATCAAGTGAAGGATGGATATCCACCTATGAGTGTGGATGACCTGCTTCATGTCTTTCCTTTTGGAGTAAAACTGGACCATACCGAGGAATATAGGGATGAGAGTAGAATAGCATCTAACACCATTGAAGACAATATTGTCAAACTCTTCCGATCGACAAGAATTATATACAACTAGCCTCTTCACACCAAGCGACAATCGTCCCAGTACCCAATGTCCAACACCATTTAGTTCAACATGAATGGGAAAGAACACACACTAGTATCATAACCTTTTGAAAGGTATAAGTCATACATAAATTTGATCTTCTGATCAAATAGCACGTCGGCGGTGGTGTACTGTACGACCTCAAAAGAACCATATGATCCGAGTTTTCTGAGATAATAGAATAAAACATCCATATGCTGAAGAGGCATGAAAAGGCAAAGTTTAGTAGATATCTTGAAAATTTTGCTATAAAACGATGCTATAAAACGATAGACATGTATACTAAAAGTAAAACATTAGATAAACATGTGGTCTTCATAACACATCAATGTATACTTAAAATAAACATTAGGTAAACATGTGCATACTCATACAAGTTTGAGAATATACAGTTGGTAAACATTAAAATATACTCCCTCAAATAGTAAGCATCATTTTTACACTCATTTTCAACATTACATTTAATATCTCAACCTTCAATATTGGAAAGGAAATAGAAATGAAAAAAAAAAAATGGCATTGGTAAGCAGATCTTTCAAACTCATTTACTTTGTCCTCATAATCCTCACTCTTGGGACTCCCATTGCCACTGGCCTGTGCATCAAACTCCTCCACAGAGACTCCATTCAATCCCTATTTTACACCCGAAACCGAACTGAAAGACTCAAACTCCTCCTTCATACATCATCATCATAAAACATCAGAACCAAGATTTTCTTAAACCATAATAGATCACAACAAAATCTCGACCTCGATTTTCCTGATACTCGACAACTAGGATCTAATGTACATGGTCCAGGTCAGTGGTCGTGCTGTCGTAGGCACCCAAACTAACCTTGCTTGAATATATGTAGTAGCGTGAGCAAGGATCGTATCCACGGGGAATAATTTAATTAAATGACTGTAACTATGTGATTAAAATGGAGGAGAATTGGTTTTTAATCCTAATTATCTAATTAACAAGAAAATAAAGAAAGCAATAGTAAACAGTTCTTGAACAAGAGATTCGCAAGCAACAACAAGATGAAGATGAAAAATATTACCAAAGTGCTCCGGTTGAACTGATTTCCACCCCGAATTATTCTACTGATCCTCGATGCAAATATTATCAATTCATAAATACGTAGATGCCGTTGAATGATGAATTCTGACTCCTAAATTGGCTGTGGAAAATAAATCCTTCTACACAACCCTTATTACCAGGCAATTCCCAACATCGTGTAAAATTATCCTAGCAATAGCATTAAGAAGTAGTGCCCGACAACACAAGCAACAAATAATAATCCGTTAAATGCTAACTTGTATAACTATTTTGCCTAAGAATGATAACGCCTAAATCCGGTCAATTACCACGCTCAGTTGCTTCTTACGATAGATAAATCATCTAAATCAGACTCAATATCCACCAAGCAATAGACTAAGTGCACAAGACAATAGTTGATCAGGCTACGATCCTAACACAAAATCATAAACATAAACACACAAAACAATTAATACGAAATATGAATTAATAGATAAAAACTAATTAGATCTCACAGTATTAAGTTCGGGGTTTCAATCGTGTTCAACCGAAACAAAAGAGAATTAGCTGCGCAGGGCTTCCATAATATCTAGCAAAAGTATTTTCAAAAGTCTAGAGAAGAAGAAGTGAACTTGAAGTTGCTGCTCGTCAAAATCTTTTCTGTCTGCTTGCAGCTGTCAACGTTACGTCCAGTGTAGGTCTTCAAAAATCTAATCTCCTCATCTTTAATTATCGTTGGACTTTTAATTCTATTGGGCTTAGTGTTTACGGGCCCACATCTAAATAATAAGCTACGCATTGTCCGTCCATACTGACATGGCCATGTTCAAACAAAACCCAGTGCTGCCATGTTGGTTATATGTGCACCATACGATCTAACTGCACAAAAATATCAACAATGGTAGTTTCTACTCGAAGACACATGATATAGTCGAAAACACGCCACTTAAGCACAAATATCCAACACATAGTCCAAATTTTACTATATTATAAACATATATTTTCGACTTATCAGTCAGCATCGTCCGTGTAACTTAAGAAAATTGAGTTAGTGAAGTTGATCGTGAAAATATGTTTAGATATACTGTATATGTACATAAGATAAACGACATGTAAAAAATGCATGTAAATTAACCGTATAGTTATACATAAGATAAACAAAATATAAACAATACAAACGAGATAAAACATAACACGCAATTCTGATTGACTGTAATATGATTAAACTTAAGATAAACAAACAATATATAAACACAAAACCTCGTACAACTAAGGCACATGTACAATTAAACATATCTAATCTAAACCAAATCTCGAACCGTATTCTTGTTTAACATAAGAAGAATCAAGGGGTTAGATGCATCAAACTTTGTGATGTCCGAGCCAATGTCACTGTCGTCATTGATACATCCGCACCCACATCACTGGAATATGGTTCCTCCTCCTCTTCAAGTTGGAAATCCGAATTGGATATATCAACATTTTTCGATTTAACCTATTTCCTCGAACCCTCTTCTTGTTGGTGTCGTCCGACACCTTATTTTTTTTTATTTTTATTTATTTTTTTATTTTTTTTTTTACGTTCAGAGACAATATCGTCGGCGACGTCCGAGTCACCGTCCGCGGTCTTCGGAATAGAATTTTTTCCACGATTCGAAGCCTCCATTTTCTGAAATTGGAGTTTGTTTTGTACAACCTTGCGCTCGGGAGGTTGAAATTGCGATTTTTGACGAGATTGAGAGCGGGTTATCCTTACTTCGTCTTCAATTTCGGATGGTTGGGCCTTAATTTTTGTTCGCTTCGACATTGTTCTATTGCTGAGATTGGAGCTTTTTCTGTGTATGAGATATTCAAGCTTTTCTGTGTATGAGAGATGAGAGAGACGAGAGATTTTTGGTGAGAGATAATTTCTTAGCACTATACTCGAGATATGGAGAGAGGAGTGATGTACTCGAGATATGGAGAGTGGAGTGATATCTTTTCTATTTTTTTTTTTTTTTCATTTGANAGTGTAAAAGTGATTAGGAAACCGCCTAAAGGCATCGATATCCCTCAACATTCATTCAATCACAATTTATACTATCTCTCATCCACATCATCTCCACATAATTTCTCCATTAAATCTCTCTCCATTTAAACACACACCCACATTCCTTTTTCTTTTTACGAAACGATAGAGATTTTATATATAACGCACAAATGTGCATAAAACAGCCACCAGCTGATTACAAACAGCCAACAACTGAATACAAGCAGCCAATAGCTGAAAAAGTGGGAGAACAGGTCAAAATACCGCCTAGAACCGACCCCAACGGGGTAATACTCTACCACACTAAAAACACACAAAACAACCAAAAAAACAACACAAGACCCCCACAGGGTAATTCCCGAGTGTCGGACCCCCACAGAGTAATGGAAATGATACTCGGGTGCACAGAGGCCAACGGCCCAAACCTAAAACACTAACACAACACATACACGAACACAGACAAACACAAAAAACAACAGGAAAATGAAACATACTAAAGCAACAAAAACAACCCTTCCCTAGCAAAACAATATGTCACAACCAGCAGTGAACAATCGACACAAGAAGGAGTCCCAGCCCGATAAACTACTACCGAAACTGCGCAAACGCCTGTACAGTAGTTGAAACCGAGCCCGAACCATTCCCGGAATCGACCCACCTCCAATCGAGAGGACGACAGCACCAGCTCCCCGCACCATCACAGCCCGAACTCGTCTAACACCACTAGTCGAGCTCGGGTGCTCTGGACTCCATCCCGAACCCAACACCAGAGAACCGGGATGGTAGAAGCTGCCCGGTCCCACAACTCCAACGGCAAAACCGCCGAAGTCTCGTCCCGCCCACCGAAATCTAACACCTCCAACCCACCACAGCCCTCTGACCACACGAACCCAAGCCCCAAAGTCCAAACCCAGAAGCCCTACCCGGAACAGCAATCTAACCAGAAGGACCTCCAAGCCCCGACCTGTTGAAATCGAGAGGCGAACCATCCCAATCGAAGACCGCCAACGTCCAATTAGATGAACCCCCAGCCTCCGACTGAAGCGCACCACCTCAATCGCACCTTGCCATCGGACCTAGGTCTGAGCACGCCTCGCGAACCACTGCGGCAAATCAGAGAGACGCGACTTCGGGACGAGCCGAGCGGTCAGGATGACCACTGGCCCGAACACTCCGTCGCCAAGGAAGGCAAAGCAGCAGCGATTTGAAGAAGAGCGGCGAGCAGATAGGGTTTTTTCGTCGGAGCAGAGAGAGAGATTTTAGTAGTCGGTGCTAATTTGAAATTTAAAAAAGTATCAAAATATCTGTTAAGAGAATTCGATTCTCTAATTTCACACCCACATTCCTATCCATTCATTTAAATACATATATGGGGTCCATTATCCACTGATTCAATATAAATTTTAATATTCTATTCTCAATAAAAAAAATTAATATTTTTAAATTATGATAATAAATTTTAAATGCATGAAAAAAAAAACACTACAAGACCAAAATAACTTAAATTAAGATTATAAAAAAAAAAAGTAGAATTACAAAAATAAATTAAATATAAAAAAAAAGATTGAATAAACAATTGTTTTAAAACGAAAAGAAAGAAAGAAGATTGAATAAACAATAATTTAAAACAAAATAAAAAAGAAAGAAAGCAGCAACAACAAGCATAGATAATTATTAAAAAGAAAAAAAAAAGAAATCAAAAAGAATGCGTTCAATCTATTGAACGGACGAGTGGGGGACCCCTGTTAATGGATGAACCACATCCAGATTAAACACGGGGGCATTTAAACGCGCAACAAATAATGGGTGTTGTGGGTGCCCTAATTGAGTGATATCTCACGATTCCCGAAGATCATGTAAGATGTGATTGATTGGGTGTAGTTGTTTTCAATTTTTGAAACCTCCTAAATTAACATCACTTATCCGTTAAATCAGCCAAAAAATAATCGACTAATCTATTATGAATATTATGTTAATTATCATAGATCATGTAAATTTGCTGAAAGAACTATTTGATCGTAAAATTGATATTATTTAGATCAAGGATTGTAAGGGGGTAAATTTGTCAACATTTATTAGGCTCATATATTATTAAGAGGTCATTGTTATGATATATATTTACTGATTTGCCAAATATAATAAAGACAAAAATTATTGAAATATCTTTTTATTAAATGCATACTACTCTATTTAATGCTAGCTTCGTTTTAAGACCAATATTGATATAGTTTATTATATTATATGATTATGAAATGTTTGATTTTGTTTTTTTTTTTTTATTGTGGAAATTATTTGGTACGTAAATATTCGAATATGTATGGATTGACCCTCGTGATATGAAAAGAAATATATATGGCTCAGCCAGTGCAGCTCTGTCGCCGACAAGTAATATTTGATAGTAGCTGACGGGTCAATTGTTGATCAAAATATTATGAACAGTTATGTAAAATGACTAGAGATGTTAAAAATAAACGAGCTGCTCGTGAGCTCGGCTTGGCTTGGCTCAATTTCGGAGCTCATTTAAAACTCGTTAATATTGATAAACGATCCGAGCTCGAGCTTGATTATAAGCTCATTAAGTTAACGAGCCGAGCTCGAGCAGCTCTGCTCAGCTTAGCTCGATTTCGGAGCTCATTTAAAGCTCGTTCAGCTAACGAGTCGAGTTCAATTCGGCTCGTTAATATTGATAAACGAGTTGAACTCGAGCTTGATCATAAACTTGTTAAGTTAACGAGCCGAGAGTTCGGCTCGTTAAGGGCTTCAACTCGAGCTCGGCTCCGCTCGTTTACACCCTTAGATATGAACGAGTTGTTGAACTGTTTGGACCGTTTCATATTCGTTTACAATATT